CCCCCCCCCAAAAGCAAGTAATTCATGTCCCAAGAAATTATTCTACACTCTGTTGTAAACCTGAAACTAATACTACATTGCTTGCCAATTGTAATTGAAAAAATTGTTTAAATTAAAAATAAAAAAGAAATGTAAATGGTACCCCAACTCCCATCCCCCCCTAAAAAAAACAAAGGCTTCGTTCTGTGAGGGACCACAGTGGTATAAAAGAACACAGAGGTGGGTAGAGACAATTTACGGATGGCCCGGAAATCCTAGGTAAAGAACTTGGACTTTTTTTATCTGTTTTACTAGTTGGGAGCACAGATTGTTAGCTGTTATGATCTTCTTGCTTTTGAGTTAAATTGTGCAAATAAAGAATAGTCCTGCTGACAGCATCCCATGAGACCTATTACTATCAAGCCTAGTACGAAGAGTGTGCATTTCTCAAAACTTGTGTATTTCCCAAGACACTGGTCAAAATGTGGTCCACTGAGCAGCAGCATTGGCATTGCCTGGGGGTTTGTTGCAAATGCACAATCTTAGACCCCACCTCAGACCTATCGATATAAATCTCAATTTTATCAAGATCCTCAGTGACTGATACACACTTTAGCACTTGGGAAACATTAGCCTAGCCCCTCCTCGTTGTAGCATTTTTCCCAATCTCCAGTTGAACATTTCATCACCATAACAACTTGTATCCCATAATAATCAATAAATATGTTAGCAGAAAGCTGGCAAATATAACCTTTGCCCCAATATAAAAATGTTTTGTTTCCAGAAGTCTCTTGTGATGAAACCAGTTTCTTCTTTTGGGCCGCCTTCATGTTTTAACACAATATTTACTTATTAATGCTGGGAAAGTCACCAGTAGATCTAGGCATTCTTGCCACTAGTGACCTCACTCAGAAGCAAAATGCATTTTCCAAAGTTTAGCAAAAATACTAAAAGTATGTAAGTCTTAAGAATTGCACCCTCCTCTGATCCTTGACATCTCGATTGCTCTGTTACTAAGAGTTTCACAAGTAAGTTTCCTAGGGTAAAATTAGTATGGGAAATACCATATATTTTCTTTCTTCTCCTAGAGATTTATAATGTATGCTATCATATTTAACATCCTATGGCATCCTACAGGAAACAAGCCTGCTTAATTTATGTGTTCATCCCAGAACGCACTTAATGGATGCATTAATTTCTCATAGAGAATAGTTACAGAAATTATATTCGAGGAAAAAAGGGATGAAAAATGTCAGACATAAAATGAGCCTCCAGGAATGTATTATACACAGAGAAATAAAGGGGGAGATGAAACTGTGCCAAGATAGACTTGAAATTATCCATTGGCCTCAGACTTCTGTCCTGTTGGTTTAGATCAATTCTAGTTGACTGAATACCTTTTTAAGCCTCTCTAAATTTCTGAATACATTGTTGGTTCATGAAAAAAATATTAACCAATTCCACAGTTAGATCCATATGCAACTATATGAGAGGGATCAGAGTGTGGGTGTCAGGCATATCTGTGACCTTGGGTAAGATCTTCATTTGTATAAATCTTAGTTTTATTGTCTCTCAAATGGGCATAATGATTTCCACATAACATGCCTTTATGAGTATTATTATTTTTGCTTTAAACAATC